CCATCAGCAGAGAACAAAGGGACAAGCAGCCACTGGTCTCCCTCACTGTGTTCTCTTTTTGCTTCATGCCAACATGCCAATTAAGCATCCCACTAGCCAAGGTAGCGAGGTGTTTGGGGCAGGGACTTTTCCTGGCACCCAACAGCAGAGCAGGTCCTCCATCCCCACCCAGGGTTTCCAGCCCACACTGCACAAGCTCAGGAGATATGTAACAGCAACATGCTCCTTTCCACCCCAAATGAGCAGAACTGTGGCATGTAATGACCATCCATGCAGCACTTGATTGAGCTCTAGTTCAGGCCAGGGATTAGTTTGAGGCAATTCCCACACCTTTGTACCACCTGTTTGTTAGCCACTGTGCAAAAGAAAAGCCTGAGGACGGACTTATTCAAAATATTAATAACTAACAAGATTTCATCCCTGCCGCCAAGGACAGCAGCTCCACACATGTTTTGGAACAATGGTAAATTTTCCCATAAGGTCTTTGCAGTTAGCAGTGCAGAATCAAGGAGAGACTTCATGAGTCTGCCACCAGTTCTCTGCTCCCACAGCAGAGACAGTGTTGCAAAGCAAACTGGAAAATGGGATTTGTAGAAATCTGGCAGGGAAAGCCCAAGACGAAAAGTCAGCTGTGTGAAGTGTTAGTTACAGCTCTGCTTTTAAGGCAACTTTGCTTTTGATCAACCTGAGACACTTGGACAGCTGAGTCAAGCTTGAACACTATCAGAAATGGGCTGCCAGAGACAGACCTCTCTCCGAGCTCAAGATGTGCTTTTATCACGCTCAAGTTAACAACCTGTTGTACTCCTGCATTTCCACAAGGGGGAAAAGAAAGGACTGGAGTTTGTCCCTCGTGTTTGATCTTTCTTGTCTCTTCCAAAGCAGAGGCATAGCTCGCATTAAAATCTAACAAGCTCATTCACAAGATCAAAATTTCTTATCTTCCAGTCGGTTGCTGGCAGGATTCCCAACTGACTGGAAAAAGAAAAGGTGCTTCCCCAGCAGTTAAGGCTCCCAGACCAGTTTCCTGCTCTGTCAAACTCACAATCCATTGCCCTTCACCTGTTAAGTACACAGCACTTTTATGGGCAATTCGGGAGGACTCACACATTCTCTACTATAAAGCACATCTGTTTCATTATTAAAAGGATGGGCCCTACCAATTTAAAGGTGTGCAGAGTAATGTAATATGTATCTTGTGAAAATCCTAAAGCCCATTTCCCCATGTGTGATTACAAATATGCATCTGTGGCATAAGCTAATTGCTTCCTTCTGGTATTACTGCCCTTTTTAATCACTGAAGTAATTCTGAAGTGATTTTTCTTTTTTAATACTATTACTCTTTCAGAGTTTCTCTTTGGCAGCTAAAAAAAAAAAATCAATTAAGTCAATTCCATTTGCATCCAGACCTGGTTCCACTTCCAAGTTCTGGGCTCCACGTGTGCTACAAGCATTCAAGTGTTATGTTCCTTATAGATTTATTTAATTTTTTTTTTAAATGCTCACATGGGAACACTCATTTTTTAATTAACAAAAGCCTGGACATTATAAGAACTTATTTTTAAGAAAAATTTAACTTCAGTGCCAACTCTGAACCTTCACCAATGAGTGAACAGTGCCTTCTGCTTAACCACTTCTTCCCACCAGAGCCTTAGGAACACCTCACAGTGCATTCTAAGCTCACGGTTTCATGTTACTGATGACTTGACTAAAATCTATTTGTCCAGCTCCCTGATGTCAGAGGAGAAGGCTGCAAAACAGGAGACACGCTGCTGAGGAAGCAAAGCATATTGTGAGCCAACAGCTTGGAAAGCTTTGGCTCTGCCCACTATTACAGCCTGGTTTTGGATCCTGGGTCTCACGGAGCAGGCGGTTACGTGGAGGTTTTGCTGCTGCTGCGAGATCAGAAGGCTCCAGGAGAGCCCAGTCATGCGTTCTGCACAAGCAAACACCAGTGCCCTTCCACAGTATGTAAATATGGGAGTGCCCACACCCCACCCTTTTTCCACATGCAGTCTCACCTAGACCACAGAGATGTGAAATGAATCCAGCCAAGAATGAAGCTTTTGCTCCTTCCTTTATTCGGGGCCCCAGTAAACCTTCTTTCATTACACAGGTCGATAAACCAGGGGAGGGAAGTGCTCCCTTCTTGGCTGTTGATCCGAGGGATTGCCTCATACAGGATTTTCTTTGTGAACAGCAGACTAGGCTTGATTTACCCCCCAATCTCATGTTTTCCTATGAGGAAAAGACAGTCCAAAGCTGAATGGTCCAAAGGCACTCTGACAGTGCCTGGACAGTTCAAAGGCACTCTGAACTATCTGCCATGTAGAAGAGACTTTGAAGAAGCCCTTAAAACATTAATTCATTCACTTTTCTCTTTACATAGGGATGTTGTGAAACATCCATAACTGGAGGTTTTTAAGAACATATTCACCAAAGTCATTCCTGAGCACTGCAGCTAGAAGTGATACTGCTTTAGAAAGTATCAATATGTTTTTTCCAGGCTCTTCCATAGCCTTACCACCTATGATTCATTTCCCACTCATAGCCTTCATCTCTTGAGTTTTCACAGATTTTCTCCTATTACCCTTTACCCTTTTGTATCCATACCCTTTTCTTTCAAATTAATTCCCCATTGTTAACTATCTTTTTGCCATCAACCCCAGGTTTTCTTAGCAGCTGTTACTGCCTCACCAACCAAAGGTGGATTTTAACAGTTGTTCACCATCGTAGCTCAGAACCTCAGATGTGACTTCTCAAAAGGGAAAAATCCCTCTGCTCCTTAGATAGAAGGACAGACTACTAATTTTCTGCCAGTGCGTTGCTGCTACTGGACTCTCCAGTTAAGATAAAAATTAAGCTAACTCCCAGGACAGGCATAACATCTGTTAGACCTCTGGGCAGCCACCCTCCCTACACACAGCCCTGACTTTCACTTAACTCCTTCTCCTCTGCAGCCTGCAGAAATAAAGCCTTGGTTCACAGGTCCCAGGTGGAAACTGCTTCTGCTGCAAACAGCATGGCTGGCCATCGGCCTTTTAATCGGCTACTACTGAAAAACAGGACAAGGTTCTCCACCCATGATTCAGGAGGGGGGGGGGGGGAAATAAAGAAAAGGGAGCACTGGCAAACCTTGCGGTGATGTAAACCTGCAGCTGAATACATCAGGAGCCGCGGACACCCCTTAAGGCAGCAGCGTCTGCTCCGTTACCACAGGACGCTGCTCAGCAAAGCACAAGATGTCACCAGAGGCGGTGACAGTGGCCGGGCCCTGCCAGCCCTGCCCCGGCCGGTGTCCTGGCGATGCTGGTGCCCCTCCACAGACCGTGACAGGGCGATGGGCAGGGCCGGCCCAGACCCCTCCAGCACCCCGGCCCTCGGGCAGGGCCGCGCTGAGGGAGCCCGGCCCGGGGCCGGCCCTGCCCGCAGCCCCCGCACAGGGACCCGCTCGGGCCCCGCTCGCCGGGTCGGGCTGGGGAGCAGCGGCCCGGCCGCCCCCTCCCCGCAGCCCCGGGGGTGTCTCCGGGCAGGGCCGGGCATGAGGGGCCCCCTCAGCCCGCCTCGGCCGCGCCTCAGGGCGGCTCCCGAGATGGCGGGGCCCCCCGTGGCCCCCCGCCCGAGATGGCGGCCCTCACCTGGGTCTTGGTGGTGAGCTGGATCACCGCCTTCCTGAAGTTGAGCTTGGAGTCGGCGCTGCCCATGGTGCGGCCCGGCTGCGGGCAGGGCCGGGCAGGGCTGTCCCCTCACGCCGCCGCTCCCCGGGCCGCCGCTGCCGCCATCCCCGTGCCGGCGGCTCCCGCTGCCTCCCTCCCTCCTGTCAAACCGGGGCTCGCCGGTCCCGGCCCTCCCTCCCCTCCGCCCGCATCCCTCCCTCCGCCCACGGCCGCGGCTCCTCCTCCTCCTCCAGCTCTCCATCCCTCCGTCCCGCCCCGCTGCTTTCCCTCCTTTCCCACCTCGGTCTGCTATCCCTTCGCCACCTCCACCCTCCATCTCCCCGACCCTCCCTCGTCTTTCCTCACGGCAGAGCACGGTTTTCCTCGTTTCACTCTTCTCCTCTAGCCCTTCCTCGCTCTCCCTTCCTGGCTGGCCTCCTTACACCTTCTCTGTCCCTCACCTTCCTATACAGCCCTTCTGCTTCATCCTTTGCCTTCTCCCCCCATCACCTTCCAGTGCCCCCTTCTCATCTCTTCTCCCTTTTCTTGCCCCTTCTCCCTCTCCTCTGCCCGCAGCCTTTGTCCCCTGAAGCCCATCTGCTCAGCTGCTCTCGGGCACAAACCCCACGACAGCCCCGTTGAGCCACCCCCGGAGAGCCCTGCCACTGCCACAGCCTGGCCCCAAGCCCAGATGGTCCAGAGGGGCAGTGGGATGCCAAGAGAACGGCTGGCTCTGGCCTCTCCCTAGTCCTGGGTAGAAAGGAACTGGGCTTGTAACACATACCCTGTGGAACACCTTATTAGCAGCTCATTGCCTGTGGTGGCCCATTAACCCTAATGAAATTCCACCCACCCACAAGGAGAGGATGTTTTATAACCCTCGGCAGTGGGAGTTCATGTTTTGGCACTCACTGAACACCTCAAAGCGGCTGTTTGAGGCCATTCCATATTGCCTTTGAAGCCATCGTCACCGTTTTCTGCTCTGAGCAGCGCTATGAAACTGCAAGCAGGTCTTTCTGCTGTCCCCGAATTACATTCCACGTGCTCAGCTCTGCAAACCTCCTTTCTTCAGAGGAAATGAGGTAATTCCAATCGTTCTGCAAAGAAAAGCAATGTGCTAACTCTCCAGCTGGGGCAGACTGTGGGATTTCTCATTTGTTGGCATATAACGTGTATGGGAGTCGCTGATGTTTGATTCTATCAAGTGACAGGTCAGATCAGAGACATTCGTGTAAAACCTACAGGAAAAAATATTTTCACAAAATCATGTAATCTGGCTTTTGCTGCCAAACAGCCTGGGGCTTTGCATCCAAGCACTCACTCAATATGACTACACTACACGGATAAATGATAATAATTTATTGTTAGGAAAAGAATACTTTTCACAGTCAATTATTTTTCACATTCAATAGAAGAACTCAGTTAGAGGAGACCTACAGTGATCATCCAGTCCAACTGCCTGACCACTTCAGGGCTGACCAAAAATTAAAGCATGTTTTTAAGGGCATTGTCCAAATGCCTTTTCAACAGGCACGAGAAAATTAAGATTTTTTCATTTCTATATTAAAATTGCTTAGAAAAAGATTTGGACCCAGAGATGGCTTTCTTCCAGACACACCAGAAGTGCTTATATTTGCTGAGTTATAAATGCCAAGTTAAAGAGATGCCTTGATTCTGGTCTGCAACTGCATTAAGGCAGATGACTTCCCAGGCAGCCACTGAATTTTGCAAATGTGTATATGTGATGGAGAGGTCTATGAGAAAAGAAGGGGAGAGGAATAGTCTACAGTTTCTCTCTTACTCCCTGCTTAATCTCTCCTCTGCTGCTGTACACTAGAGCCGAGTACTAGTCCTGGCTTTAATCATCCAGGGGCTCTCAGCTGCCTGTCACTGCTGGATTGGATGGAGTTTTCTGACACAGATCCCATCTTTTCTGGATGCACAGTCTGCTGCTCTTGCGTAAACATCTTATATTGCCTTTTCTGTGGGCACCACTGCAAGATAATGCAATCAAATATAAATCCAGGGAGTTCTATCACACAGAAGGCAAAAAAAATAAAAAATCATCATCTAAACTCACTGTCACATGAGTTCATTTGGATCTTAGAGTCTCTGATGGATTCCAGGGCTGACAAGGACAAATAAATCTCCTTGGAGCAAACTCCACACTAGCAGCTAGGAGAAAGACCACCATCTCTTAACAGTCATTCCCTTGAGCTGAAAAGCAAGTACCAAAATCCCAAGTTTTTTCTGACCTTACTTATACATAACAGACCTTAACATAACATACATATATAACATAACTTATACATTTCCTCCTCAGAACTCTACAAATCCTCATTTCCCTCAGTTTTAAGCTCATTCCACCCTTCAGAAAGATGTGACAATTTGTCCTCAAAAATAAGAGAGGAACTTGCATCGAGAGCACTGATTTCCCATCGGAGTGCAAAACAACACAGAGTTGGAGGAAGACACCACGCTGAGGTGATGCTGTGGGGCTCTCTGTATGGGGTGTCCCCTTTTGCAGCCCCAGCTAAGGGAGGGTGGATGCCCTTCTTGAAGAACAACCCACACGAACCCACTAAGGCAGAGAAGGCACTGACATCCCCACTGAGGGGTCCCGAGACTTGCCCAGAGTCACCGTGAAGCCCACGGCAAGGCCAGGACACGGCATCCCAACCGCATGTCCTGCTCCTGGCTGACCTCCCAGCCGGAGGGTCAGAGCAGGGGGGCTGCGGGGCATCTCGCCTTCCTCGGAGCCCGGGTCATCCCACCTTAGCACCGCGCTCCCCGCAGGTCCGCTGTGCGCGGCAGGGCTGGGCGGAGTGGAAGAGGCGGAGGAGGAGGAGGAGAAGGAGGCCGGCCTCGCTCGCCTCCCCCTTCCCTCTCGCCGGTTTTCCTTGCAGCATTTCCATGCTAGAGGTCCCCACCGAGCTGCGGAGCGAGGATCTGCCTGGCTGCGCCGGGCCCTCTTCCTTCCTTTGTGCATCCCCCAGCCCTGTGCAAGCCGTGCCCCCCCGCCCCGGCCGCCACGTCCCCGCTGCATCCCCCGCTCCGGAGCCTCCCCCGGCCCTGGAGGCAGGAGGAAGCCGTCCCCCAGGGCACGCAGAGCCGGGGCAGCGACCAGGCACCGGCTGCCACGTCGTGCCATCCCCCCCTTCCCGGCCCGGCCGGGGCACCGAGGCCGCATCCCCGCCCGCATCCCTGCCCGCATCCCCGCATCCCTCACGCTCCGCGGTTCGGCGGCGGCCCCTTTGGCGGATGCTGCGCGTCTCCCCGGGCCGCTGGTGCTAAATGCTGAGCGCCGACAGGATGGAGGAGTTTCAGAGCGAGGAAGAGGAGCCCTGGTATGACCAGCAGGACCTGGAGCAGGGTAAGGATGGGGCCACACCGCAAGCTGCCAGGGATGGTGAGCCGAGGGATGCGCGGGCAGGGAAGCGGGCAAACGCCAGGGACAGTAGGGTGGGATACCTTCTCTCTCGACTCCTATTTGGTTGGCAAAGCCAGTGCCTCATCCAGCGGCGGTAAATCTCGGCTCTGCTGCTCCAAACCACTCTCCTGGCCAAGGAAAGTTTAAACCCGATGGATAGAGGCAGAGCCCAGATCTGTCCTGAGCAGCAGGTCAGTAAAAATTTTGATGTTTTGCATCCACAAGGAAGCTGGTTCCCCAAAAAAACTTGCTGCAGGTGGAATCAAACATGGGTAGTTATGACATTGATTTCAGCTCAGAGCAGTCCAAGATAGAGTTACCAGGCACATTAGTTAGAAATTAATATATTAGAAATAATGTATTGCTGAGGATGCTAAAAGTGTCTCTCAAAAGCTTCTGCTATCCAAGCCCAAATCCAAAGGGATCTTCAGCTTCTTAGTTACCTAATTACTTCTGAAGGTTTTTCCAATCAGCCATAAAACCAGGAGAAATTAGAAAGGAGAAAAAAAAAATCAAGGCCAAGTTTAAACAGCAAAAATAGCCTTGTTAGAAGATAAATGTTCACTTGTGTAGTTTGCTTTGAAGTAACTGTATCTATGTCTGCACTAGTTCTACGGAACATTTATCCTCAGGCTGGACAGTTGGTGCCTGTTGGTATTCAGGGCTTTTTTTTTTAAACATAATTTTGCTTATCTTAATATTTTGAGTCAACACGCAGTAAGTAAATAACTGGAAGAAGTCCCATTTGAGGCCAGTGGCCCAGGAATGAACTAAACTGATTTCTCAATGAATAGGGAAAAATCATTCCTACCGAAACACAGTGCCCCTCTGGCATGTTGCACTATAGGTACAGTTTTATATTTGCTTTTCCCAGCTGACTGTCAGCAGGGATGTGTGATCCAGCTGCAGTGGCTTGGCCCAGCATCGCTCCAGTACATTATGTCATGATTTAAAGTTTACACAACTTCAGCTGCAGGGCAAGGGCCCAGCAAGGAATGATAACCAGCCCTCCAGGGGTTGTCACAGCTGGGTTTTAACCCCAATTTCTCAATGAACAGGAAGTTGGAATAGCAGGATACTGAGCCCTGTCCTTTGAAACACAACACTCAAATTAAACCCAGGCAAAGCACAGAGATGGAACTATCAGCTGGATAAACAGTGCAGCCTTTGACTGCTCAGAAATTCACATTTCTGGGTGACGTCTTCCCATGGCTCACAAGGGGCCTGGGCACTGGTCCAGGGGCGGGATGCAGGCTGAGGAACAGCAGAACTATGGATGAATATAGGGAGTGTTGAACAACGTGGGACCAATTGATTTTTAGCCTAGCACTGTCCCTGGTGTCAGGTTCATGAGTCAGCACTGGCACTGTACAACTGGCTCACAACAATAAAACCACCTTCCCACTGCAGGGCCAGGTTCCCAGCTCTGTCCCAGCAGCCTAAATGCAGAATGACTGTCTCCAGACGATGGATTGATGCTGGGAATGGGCTCCACCTTTATGCACATACAGGACTGGAGGAAAACACAGACCCAAAACAAAGCCCAGCTGCGGGCTTGCAGCCTCCTGTGTGAATGGGGGCAACACAGGCTTGCACAAACTCAGAAGGAGAGATGGGGGAAGGCTTTAACTGAAATCAGCCAACTGGAAAGGTCCCACGGGGTAATTACAACCATAATTAATTTGCATGATGCACAAAGCATCACGAAGGACAGTGGTAGACCTTGTCCACGTACACTGTGCCTTTGCCTTACAGCCATGGCACTGCCCAGAGGTCTTTGGTGACAGCACAGCCGTGGAGCTGTTGGTTTGGAAATGGGGGGTGGAAGTACAGTACAAGACATCCAGCGTGGCGTGATTATGAGGCGGTTGTAGGCCAGCATTGCTAAGAGGATTGGCATGCCAAGAGCCCGGGGTCGCACAGAAACCCACGCTGGCAGCAGCGCCAGGAGGGCGGAGGACAAAAGCAGAGGCTTAGGAGCTTCCTTAGGAGCGAGGGGTGGGAGAAACAAGAAACAACCCAAGCTAGGAGAGCAGAGGAGGTTCTTCTGTGAACCAGTTGGTTCCTGGGCCTTTATCGTCATTTCACAGCATCATCAAATATTTATTACATTTACATCCAAAACTGTTTGCTAAGCAACAGATGGCTTAACTGGGAGCTCTGTGATGATTATGTTAATTAACCATTTTAGCACCACAGCAGAAATCATGCCTCCAGCTCCACACCGAGCACCTGTTACTTTCCTCCTCATCCTCCATAGAGCTTCACCTTGACAAAGTAACAAATTTTTTCAAGAAAATAAACCCCAATCACTCTTTGCTTCCCTCCTAAAATGTCCACAGCGACTGGCTGCATCCACCACATGCCTTGGAAAGTAGCAAGACCTGGTCCCCAGCATCAAGGCCCTTCCAACCTTGTTCAAATGAAGCTGGTGCCTTTCAGATTCCTTTACCTGTTTCCTGCACCCTGTAACCCTGTGTGGCTCAAGGCATTGCACCAAGATGCCTTAGCACATAGAAGCAGAGACTCAAATCCCAGTCAGGGTACTCAGCAGTGACATGGGAACAGTAGTGGTGTCCTCTGAGTTGTTTCTTTCTTATGATGTTCCCTCTGGGAAGTCTTTCTGATTTGAGGAAAGTGGTGAAAATGGAGCTTTGATTGTTTGGTAGCATGACTTAGCTTATTGCCAGGCTTTGTAAGCATGAATAGATATCAGTGCTGCTTTAGTTCAGCCACAGCCTCACCTTCCATGGGCTAGGAGGTCTGTACCTCTAAGCATTAAAACCAGGATACAGTGCTGGTGAACCTTTTTCCAGCTGTTGAAAACTAATGATGTGGGTACAGTTGCATCATACCCTGTGCACAGGGCGGATGTGCAGCCAGACCCCAAGAGAATGAATGAGCTAAAATTAGAGAGTCTGAGCTGCAGAAAAGTGGGGACACCTTTTCTGTTCATCAGGAGCATTTGTCTTCAGGAGGGCTGTGTGCCAACTCAATTGCATCTGGATCCAAACAGACCTAGCAGCTCTGCCAGCCACTTCCAGCCTTCAACTCCCCCGCAGCAATCTCCCAAGATGAGTCCTCCTTTCAGTTACCCAACTGCATTCCCTGATCTTCCCAGCCTCCCTGTCCCCCTGCCAGCATTCAGGTCTCAGCCAAAGAGCAGAGTGCAGCCCAAGAGGAGGCCTTTAAAAGCCACCCTTATGACCTCTGGACCTATCGACAGCCTAAGGCATATAGTGGGATTCTCAGGGTGTCCTGCACAGGGCCAGGAGTTGGATTCAATAATCTTGATGTGTCTCTTCCAACTCAGCATATTCTATAAATGTGGGGTGATTTCTCCCATGTCAATAAATGGCCTCCCACTGCTCTGAGTGTCTGAGTTGGGCAGCAGGACCAGAGGTAGTGCAAGAACCAGCACATCACCGCATTGCCCCTGCAAGACAGATTGTCCTCTCCTCCTGGGCAGCCACAGAAACTTTTGGGCCAAACCATCTGCAATGCAGGCTTAGGACCTAACGGATGTAACCTCTAAAGGTCTCCAGATTTAAGGATCTTATTTTAATTCCTCCTCCTCCAGCCAAGCATCTGATTGCTAAGAAGGAAAATGACACAAGGTGCTGAGCTTGCACCACTCCCCACTCATCTGTGTAAAGACACAGGGTCACCCGTCCTGGTGCTGGGGTGAGCCCAGGGGATCAGTGCTGGCACCCACTAACGCCCAGACCTGCCTGTTTCCTACATCACTCAGCCCACATGGGGTGGTCCAGAGCACTGCAATCCACTGTCAGCTTTCCCAAAGGATTCACTGCACTGGCGAGCAGGCGGTACCCCAAATTCTGCTGCTCCTGCTGCAGTTATCCCAGCAGTCCAGGTACAAGGCACACAGATTTCCTGTCCTCCAGGAGCACAGCAGTTAACTCACCACCCTCCCTCCCCAGAGGCAAGCCAGAAGGTCAGAGCTTTGCCTGCAGTAGCTGAGCCACTTACTTATTTAGCAGTGCAGTACAGCAGGTAGCTTATGGAAGTGGAAAGTTTTCAGTGACTAATTGCTGAGCTGCTTGGGAATGACAAGAAGGACTAGGAAAGTCACAGGAGACAAGGAAATATGATGACATGTTAGTCTGAGGAAGAGATGAGAGCCTCCAAATCTGGGAAGGAGTAAAAATTAATATATATATATATATATATATATATATATATATATATATATGTATGTATGTATTTTCCTGGAGTAAAAATTCCCCTGTTATATGAAGGCAGCAAGAAAAAGGGGCATAAATGAAAACCCCACACAGCAACTTCCAGGATCTCACTCCTAGTCTCTTACAGAAGCTCCTTTCTACATCTGCTGAGCCCCAGGCACATAATTCCAGCTGTGGGAGGGAGCAGAATTAGAGGAACTGCTGGAAAATGAAAAGAAAAAAAAGAAAACCCAGCAAAAATCAGAGTTTTCCATATCTCCCATCCTGAAACAATCAGCTAACGGTGGCATTTCTCCTTGGCAAGGCCATGCACGAAGGATTTATGTTCAGAGTCCTGAGGGACATTCCCCCCAGTAGCCCTGATCCCGAGGGACTGGGAGCCAAAGCACCGGCCGCTAACACCCTGCACACAGAGGCATTTTCCAATCCTCTTTCTTTCCTCCTGTACCAGCCAGCACTGGCTGGTGACAGGGCAGATGCACTGACTCAGTGTGACAGTCAGGAACCTCTTAGAGCTGTGACAGCACCAGGGTCCGATCCTGCTCCTGCCAAAAGTAGTGCCAGCACTCAGGATAACACACGGCTCGCTCACTCCCAAACACTCCATCTCCTCTTCCAAAAGGTCTTTCCCAGAGCAGCACAGTGCTAAATTCCCACCTCGTCTTGTTCCAACAGATCTGTGTGCCCACACCGAGCACATCATTAGGGCTCCCAGAGCTCCTGCTTAACCTGCCCAAAAACACGTATGTGGGCCAAGAATTTTGGAAAATATCCCCCAGACAAAATACCCCAAAGGAATGAGGCCAGATGTTACACAACTGCTACTCTTTGCACAGCTGGGAATTTTAAAGGGATTTTATATTACACTTTGTTTTTTTGGGATTTTTCCATGTGTATTTAACAAACAGTTGTAAATCTCCTCTCCAAAAAGTGACAGTTATTTTAATGGTTTAAACAGCCTGTTCCTCTGCAGCCTTCTGGTAAGTCACTCTATCCAATGTGCAGTACAGCTGCCCTGGCCCTGCTTAGTTCACTTGTCTCCTTCCTGAAGAATTCAGTCCTTTGAGTGTGTGATATCCAGGTCCATGCTGACCTCTTCCAATTGTGCAGCTGCAGAACAGCAGTTGGGAGGACATGCTCATGC